TCACCATTTTAATGTTTTCACTTTTCATTTTTTAAACAATTTATAGAATAAAATTAGACCCATTTCATATATTTATTGATTAATTAGTTTAAATCTTATATTAAAACTTAAAAAAAATATATATTATGGTGTTTTAAAAATTTTTTGTTTAAAATATATATCCGCGAAGATCCGGATATCCGCAAATATCCATAAAAAATTCGGATATCCGTCATCCCGGATATCCGAAATTTTTCGAAGCAAAACAAATCGAAAAATCAGATATCCGTAGAAAACAAATCGAATCACAAATACTGTATTTTTTCCAGATATCCAATCCGTGCCCAGGCCTATTAGCCACCACCACTACCGTTTCAAAACATTTTTTTGTATGTTGTAGTCTTGTAGACATAAGAAAGTGTAAAGACTTTTGAGCCAAATGCCCAAACTATATTTGGCTATATACATTACTAGTTAATTCATGAAAATCTTACTAGCTTAAAATATATTTTTTTCAATTTGTTCTTCTAAATTTATATTTAATTTTAAAGCATTTCAGCATGCTCTCTATAACAATTTTAGTTTATCTAATATTTGAAAATCTTGCCTCGCGCCGCATCTATCTAGCCAAACTTCTTACACACATCCCATTCGAAACCAAATTTTGTTCACTGTACATTAATAATACCCTTTTTTAAAAATTATTTTGGGCGACTTAAGTCAATATAAAACCAAAAATCTAAAATAGACCGGTTCAATTTTTACCGTAATATATTTTCACCAAGCTGTTAAAAACGTTAAAATTGTAGTCACCACCAATCACTCAATTAGACTAATACTATTTGATCCATTTAGAATTCGATCCCGACTCGATAAGTTAAGAAATTGTATAAACGACAAAGTTTCCGCGTGCTAGCCGTTAATGATTGTGACGGATCTCTTCCTAACCCAAATAGCTAGTTTCACTTTTAGTCCCTCATCTTCCAGATAATCCTATTTTACACCCAATAAAAGGGGGAATACCTGATCCCATAGTTTATTGTATGTCGCTCCTTTATTTCTTAGAGATTTCATATGACTTCTTTACATTTGGTTTTTGGTCATGTTGGCCCCCAAATCAATAGACCTCTCACAAGTCATGAGTAGTTTACGAATCATTTTTTTTTTTGTTCGTCTAAACGATTCTTGAATCATTATGATGATATTCTTGCTCTATTTCAGAATTATATCCGTGAGAAGAATTGAAAAGACAGTTATGTTGACTATATAAATGTAATTTGGTTCTTAGTCAATAGTGTAGTAATGGGAATGCGATTTTTTGGTGTTGTTGTAGTAAAGTAGGATTTAGCATATTATGTCATGACAAAAGTAAAATGATATTTTAGAGAAAATCTATATTTTAACTTTGTTTTATAAAACAAACTAGTATAAGTGTTAATACGAGTCTACAACATAATTTTGAAGAAAGTTATAGTATAAAATTATTTTTCTTTATCAAATATATGGTAGTCTCACGTTTTTACAAAAGTACGTTATCTTTCGAGTCTTGAATACTTGATTAATATATACGATTATACGAAATTTTGAATATCAAGATAAAAGAAATTTTTGGGCCTAACTGGTAACACTAATGTTGAGAAATTTTGAGGAAAATTTGTGGAAAAACAATTTATGTTACCATTTGTACAAGTTGTAAAATTCTGCAGAATTGTGAAAAGTGACCACATGGGGAATTGAGAAAAAAAAACAAATAAAATATTCTTGAGTAATTAACAAGAGCTAAATTATATATATTGAATTTATTAATGTTTGATTTCAATAATATATAAAGTATGAACTAAATTATATAACATAATCTGGAAACTAAAAATAAAAATAAAATCATTTTTATTAAAATAATGTTAAGTATACACTATAATTTATAGTTTATTTGTTAATTTTTGTAAATCAATAATTATTTTTTAAATGTATTCTAATTATTCAGTGGAGTTAAGCTTTAGTTATTCCTTTATTCGAATAACTAATTCTACTAATTACTAACAAAAAATACTTGTCAATTTTGCTAAACATACATAGAAACCAAAATATTAGTGAAATAGTTTGGGTTTAGAAAATAATTCAAGACTATTATTCTTGTAGAACTTAACACAATTACAAACATAAATATTTAATTTTAACAAATACAAATTTAGTTCATATTTTCACAAGTTTTATTAATTTATTTTTAAAAATTCTGTTAGATTCTAAAAGTTGAACCGTTGCTATTTAAATTCAAAGTTATTCCTCCACATTCCATAAAAAGTCACC